CTTTCTTTGGTTGCACGGGCGTGTCCATTCGTCGCTCGGTAGCGTTCTTTTCGCTTCACGTCCACACACACAGCATGATCTTGACGTCGTATGCGTTTCATGCTAACAGCCAGGGTGAAACCGTCGACACCTACAAATTGACGACGTTCTTTCTCACGGGCGTATTTAAGCCGTAGAGCAGCCCCTGCTTGCTACGGCGTATGTTTTGGCCGTCACACTTTTGCGCGCAAATGCTTAAGAGCGCCGAGGGAACGGGCGACCGAGGGCGACAAAGAGAAGACGTCGAGGAGCGCGATCACATGACCCCCAGCGCAATCGTCATTGGCTGAACGCGCTGCGCCTCAACCCAACACCAGAAGGCCTCCGCACCGTCACGACGGTCAGATCGTTCGAGGCGTGAGATTGGGCACGAGTGCTGTGTCAGTATTCGGCTGGAGATCGTGCCCAATCAGCGCGTCCAAAGTCGGGCTCGGGGCCAATAGCCGAGTTGGCGCCATCCGACTCTGATGACGTCTCGTGAAGGAAGAGTGGAGCGTTCGGAGGCCTTCGTTATTCTAGTTGGTGTTGCTCAGCCGCGACTAATATCAGCGAAAGGGCGCGAGGATATCACTACCGTACTCGCCCTTTTCCGGCACCAAAGCCACCTTCGATAAACGCGCGCATGCTCCGTTCGTTTTCGGAAACACAATACTCGCCATCTGCAACAAGCCCAGTACAGCTGACGCTGTAAAAAATTAGAAAAAAAAAAATTCACTTTGAAGCAACAGTAAATGTTCAGGTGTGTGCCTGCACCTCCGGGCGCGGCACATTTGAGAGAGGGGGGAGGAAGGGTTCTGAATGGGCCTCCGCAGAAAATATTTTTGTCTGATTCGGTGTGCTTTAATCCGGTACAATCGCGTCGCCATGGTAGAGGGCACTTCGATGACTTTTTAAAGGAGCGGTGCAACGACATTAAAATCAATGTTTTTCACTTTACACGAGCTAACTGGCACTAGTGGGACTCAAGGATACTCGCCCGCAACGCCACTGGCCAAGAGACTCCTTTGTTGCGCTGTAATTTCAAGGACGAAAGCGATCATTTTCATTCAATCTCGCCTTTGCAAAATTTGATGACGTAAAGCGGGGATCGCAGTACACCCAATGACGATACTTGAATGCTGTTCATAGATTGGACCCGAGCATTGCGTGGGCACTCGATTTGGGCTCGTGATAATTACTTGCTCGAGAAGCATACGGATAGTGGCCCGTGTACAATAGCTGCAACGACGACAATAGCCGAGCCATAACAATGTCTGGAACTCAGCGCGTGTCCTGTGCTTTGCCAACCCCAGCGCGTGGCTATGATCAACAATGGCGGCTTACAATCGGTTCCAGATCATGTGGCCGCTTGTTCTGGCTGCGAGTTGAGGGGGTGAACGGTGCTCGTTTTTCTTTAATTTTTTTTTCCTGGGACTTCTGTTGCGTGGGGTGAAAAACGAACACGTGTTTCATAGGTCATTAATGTCAGGGATCCGTTCTAAGCGGTATTTGCGCAAAGTGCAAAAATTGTTGCATCGCCCCTTTAATGGGTAATTCCTGTCAAAAGGAAAACCTAACGTATTCCAACGACATCAAATTAAACCATATCTAGAAGGCGTTCAGGTGGGTTCGGCGGGTTTGCTTGGAGATACACGAAATTGTTTGACACAAAGCAGTCCCATCGACCCTTTTACTATAAATTTAGTTTTTTTTTTGTTTTTTTTTTAAATGTGCGCTAGTACTTTTTATGCCAAGTTATAAGGTACTCACCTCTTTAATGTGAGCACTGCCCGTTTCTAGGTTTAGAAAGCCCAGGTGCATACCTTCTATCGTCTTTTCTTATGTATATTCTTTGAGTTTTTACGCCTTTTTACGCACGAGATTGGACAAAACTGCGACGTCGGCGTTCGGCTAGGAGTATTGTCCAATCAGAAAGAACACGACTCCTAAACGAACGCTGACGCCGTAGTAGTCTCCAATCTGTGGCTTACGGTGGTCTTCTTTAGTGACGCAGGAACACACTGCTTTCTTATCTGGGAGGTGTTGGCTGAAACTCTTTATAACTGGAATAGACAGCGACGTTTTATGTAAGATGTGTCGTAAGTCACGCTGTCACGCTGCTAATAATAAGAAAAATCGACATGTCATTTCCGTGCTGCAAAGTCATCTCGCTTCACGGAGCTTTAAGGGCTTTATAAATCAGCTTCAAATGTTTATAAGCCAAAAATAAAAAGGGCAAAGCTAACTTTTTTTTTTTTAACGTCAATATTCCTTTTATGTTAACAAATAGTACGTAGCAAGTTTGAAGTGTTGTGAACGGGCCCAAAAAGGCATGTTTTTTCTCTCACTGGGTTTGATGGAATCTATTTTCCAACCAATTAGTGGGAACTTGTTTTAAACGACGTATTTGTTAACGCGTTTTCTAATAATGATCACTCTTTTCATTTTATGTATCCTGAGCGTGCATTCTTTCCAGTGGACCCGCTTATTTCTTATTACGACGGGACTGCAAAGCTAGTCGATAATTCGAAAATTTCTTCGTCATGTGGTGTTCACCATATTACCTCTAAATTCCTTAAGAGTACTAAACGTTACACGTCGATTCTTTTCACCAATATTTTTGAACAATCACTAAACCTTGCTGTCTTACCGAATGATTGGAAAACAGAAAAGGTGGTTCCACTTTTCAAATAAGCTGAAAAACATAGTCCTCTTAATTACAGACCCATATTTCCTTAACCAGTACACCCTGTAAAATCTTAGAACACATTATTTCCTGCAAATCTCTGTCCTACGAGACTCAGCTTCTCACTTTCACTAATGACGTACTTTCGATTCTTGATCGTGGGTACCAGGTCGACTGAGTCTTTCTTGATGTTTGCAAAGCCCTCGATAGAGTTTCTCATAACGTTTTCATTTCTAAACTAAGCAAACTTAATTAACATAGACCCGAATGGTCTCTCCTGGATTAGGTGTTTTTTTTTAAACTAATTGATACCAGTTTGTTTCCAGTAACGACACTAATTCTTCCCTCCGTCCTCTTATCACTGGTGTCCCACAGGGGTCTTTTTTAGGACCTCTTTTGTTCCTCATATACGAGTATATAAACGACTTGCCAATGTTTATACCATCATCAATCAGTTTATTTGCTGACGATTGTATAATCTATCGTGAAATAACTAACAAATTTAATGCTGCACTTCTTCAAAGTGACCTATGCGCAGTATCCAAATTGTGTAACCTGTGGGAAATGACCCTTAACACTAACAAATGCAATACTATGAGGGTTTCTCGTCAGAACACGGGTTCATTGTCACACTCAATTTGTAACTCTCTACTGCAGTATGTGACGTCTTAAATATCTCGGTGGTCACGTCACTTCTAATATGTGATGCAAAACTTATTTATTTATTTTATTTATTTATTTAGCCTCAAGGGCCTGAAGCATTATAGAGGGGAGTGGATTAAATTTCATAACATAGTACAACATTGTGCAGTTATAAATAAAGACAAATAAGAGACTCCTAATCATAGAATGATAGCTAAGGCGTTCTTGAAAAGATCGTGGTCTTCGATGGCTGCCGTAGGTGCGGGAAGGCGATTCCACTCATCTGATGTGGGTGGGAAAAAGGACTGAAAAAAAAACGTTAGTTTTGCAAAGTGGAATTCCAACCTTAAAAGCATGATTCAACCTCGATGAGATATACGGGGGAGGCAAAATAAAATCGTGGCGCAGATCTGGGTGATGAAAGAGCTTGTGAAATATTCATAGTCGAAGTAATTTACGGCGATATATGCTAGAGTTGGTAGGTTGAGGCTAGATTTCATTGAGCTTATGCTGGCAGTTCTGTTATTGTTAGATAGGATAAAACGAACTGAATTATTTTGAACAATTTCAAGTAAACCTATTACGTTTTCTTGGTAACCATAACCATATTATTGCTAACGCTAACTCTATGCTTCGATATCTTAAAGAAAATTTTACTTCAACCCCAGTATTAAAGTTACTTCTGTACAAAACACTAGTTCAATCAAAACCGTAGTATGCCACATTAATCTGGGACCCCGGACATTCAACGCTCCTGACTAACCAACAATCTCAACAAAATCGCGGAGTACGTTTCATTTTCTGCTACTATATTCCGTTTCACCTAATGTTGTACCGCAGTGAAGGCTAGAAGCGCGAGCTCATAGCGTTGGCAGCTGCCCTTAATGCACGAGAGCCGGTGTCGCCGAGATGTCCCCTATACTTCGTCTCGCCTTAGCATGGACTAACTGCGAATGCTGTGCAAACGCAAGCGGCTAGCCTTGACTGCTTTGACTAAAGCACTCGCTGCACGAGCGCTTGTGCAGCTGCCGAAGGCTTTATCCAGAGCAACTAGCCCGTGCGTTTAGCATGCGCGGCTAACAATAGTCCATGCTATGGTGAGACGAAGTATAGAGCAAGGAGCTCGCGCCTTGCTAAGGTGAAACAGAGTATATCATCGCACAGTCAGTGTGTCATCTATGAAAAACAGTTTATTACTACCTCTTCTTTCTTGCGTCAAAAAGGACTTCGTTTATGCCTCTTCTACAAAATATATTGCACTAACACTCCACAAAAAAAAAAGTTATTTTTTTGCTTTTTTATATATATCTCTTCACGCATTGATCATCGTTACAAAGTTGGCATACCTCACGGTGAAACATTAGCATACATTGACTCTTTTTTTTACCAGAAACGTCTTCTGAGTGGAAACCGCACCCTCCAGCAACTTTAGTAACTATACCGTCAAATGATTTGTTTCGATCTGCGTTAACTAATCATGTTCGTTAATATTTCCTCGGTTTAGTATCTTTGAAAGTCCATTCTTCGTGTTTATTTTCTGTTTTGTGACGGCGGCTTCTGGGCCGCTGAAGTGTGTTTGCGAATAAAAAAAAAAATAGTCAGAATAGTTTGTAAGCACCTGTGCCTTTGCTGATCCCGGTCAATGTTCTCGCAGAAAGCGGAGGCACGTCGTCGCTGGGTCCTCCCCGGGAGGTGATCATTGACGCCGTGGCCGAGCACTCGTTCACGCTACGCTGGAAGCCTCCCAGGCCCAACCCCAACAAGCACGTCAAGCTGCAAGGCTACATGCTTTCGTACGCCCCCACGGGAAGAACCGCTTTCGGTAAGACGCCTTTTTTCAATCTTTGCTTTTGATTTATATAGTGTTCAGAAATTGCGCGGTTTCGCCATTTGTTGCTTCGGAAGCGTAGGGTGCGTCCCAATCATCTCATTACTGCGCTGCAGCCAATGGAATTGTAGCTTCACACGATACGTACAATCGAGAACCATCTTCACCCGTTGCCTCACCCCAGTCAATCGTGACGCGAGTGTCGACCTTTTTCGTTTGGCAGCAAACTCAGTGGCGCCATCTATTTTGTAGCCCTGGCACACTTCCGGCCCGGGTATATTTTCTAAATTTTTACCCATCATTCTTTCACCATTAGAGTGAATTATAATTAAGAGTGGCATAAGCGACCGTTTTCCGAAAAAAGCGCGTAGAGTTACCGTCGCAAGTACTGGGAAACTCGCCGTATAGTTGGGAACCGGAAGGGTTTGAGGGTTATGTTTGCACTAGTTTGCACACTGGCGCCACCACGCTTCAACTCACGCGAGAAAGAGCGAATACCGGCATGTGTCTCCTCGTGCAGGCAAGTGCGTGCAATTACAAGCTTGCCAATGCTGCGTTCACGCCCACACTGCACAGATTTGCACGCATGGGGCACCAACGAGGCGCCACGCCTGCAGTTGTTTTGATTCATCAAGGGGGCGGTGGAACAAGTTAGAAGCACGGTGTAAGATAATACTGTTGTGGTTAGAACTAAAGGCCCTCCATGTTTTAAAAGTAGCGCAAAGAACATCGATGCACGAGGTACGTGCAGCCCTTGGGAAGATCAGGCTGGCACAGCGTAGCGCTGAGCTAGATTTCAGACGCCATGTTCTTCCCAGAAGTGGCGCGCGGCACGCGTGTCAAGCATTTCCACTACAATGAATGGCACCGCTTTTCCCATGATAGTGGGGCTTTAGTTAGAACGAGTGAGCGTAGAAGAAGCAACAAGAGCGAGCTCCGAGCCTTCAGCGTCCCTGTCAAGCACGCGCGTTCGTGCAAACTGAAACGGAGTTTAGTGGAACCGACCATTATAATATTTACAAGTCCTCATCGCGGCATGCGATCGCCTCAGCCCAGCGCGTGCTTGTTCGTCGCTTCGCAAAGCGAGCAAATCACGCGCCATGCGCACGAACGTTAAAATGGAACCGGCCAGGAGCCCTTTTTTACGAAGGTCTCTATTAGCCCCCAGAACTTTGCGTGGCGCCCCCTTACGGCGAGCCGGGGTGACGTCACGGCGAGGACAGAATGTGTGCCTGACTCGCTCCGCTCGCCCAGTGGAGGCTTTGACGAAGTTAGCTTTCGGCGTGCCCGTTTCTATTTAATTTTTTTTTCTTTGTGCGCGTTTTTTGCAGGAAGTGTAAATTTTTATATGTGGCTTTAGTGAGGTATGGCCTGTAGCTGCAGGCGAAACTTCAACCAACATTTCAGGCATGGTTGACAGGGCAGGCAACGTATGAATCGCAGATGAAAAGGAAGACATATAGATTTGCATCTCACACAATCAATGCCACTGATGGTCTGAATTAATTGGCAGGTTATGTATACTATTTCGTGTTTTCTTTTTTTATCTCTTTTTTTAAACAAAAACTCCGAAACAGAAAAACTGCATGCTGCTCGCGCAACAAGTTAAATGTAGTCCGCGCTATAAAGAGAGAATCACAAGTGAGACAGCACAAATACAGAGATAAAATAAAGAAAGAACGAACTCAGGAATATACAGCTATTTGTTTATATCTGTTTATACTGCTCGCATTTGGCCTCTGCTAGATTCGGATAGTATTTTAATGGACTCGACTGGTGCTATCTGTGGACTTCTTTATAATACCACTCAATGTACAACAAACGTAGGTGAATGTGTCTAGTCCGTTATTAGTCCCTTAAGCTCTAAATTTTAGAGCTTAAGCTAAACCAAATTGTACTGAAGCTAAAATACCACAAGCGTTAATCACTCAAACTGTCACCCTTCACAGGTTCCACATTTTCTGCTATTCGTGCAGCATCTCCCACTGGACAGCCGTTCGAATGTTCGCTGTTCCTTCTGTGTTTCTATCTTGTTAGAAAGGCCAGCTGTAGGGAGTTTGAAGGCTGAGGAAGTTTTTGGGCACCTGCAGCAGTATCTCTTTTAATTAGAAATGACAACTCATACTAAACGGTATTTTTTTCCGAATACGCAAGGCTGGGATAAAGGAAGAATGCCAGGAAAAAGTATAAACATTCTAAAGTACGGTAGTATTGCTGCGAATATTTTGGGCAGTTCAATATATCTCATACAGGCAACTGTGGGCAATTCGGCCGTGTTTCCTGATACCATACAAACTTATTTCCAGTAATTGTGCGTGTTCTAAAAAAATAAAACAAGCCTGTATACCTGTTACGAACTATATCCTTAATTCACGAAGAAGCTACATTGATGTAAAACAGCCCCATTCCGCGAGCACTTCAAAGGTTTTTAGACCGATGGCTTTTAAGGCATCTGCGAACCGGTGCACGCAGAGTGACACGCGAAGAGTCGGGGTCGCAAACTAATTTGCCGACCGATTAAAGACCTTTGATATTAATGCCATTTGAAAGGCCTGCAAAGCGGGATATTCTCCTAAATCATGAACATGCAAGGAATAGAATTCCAGGGTCTGAAACACTTACGCCGCCGCTTCACCGACCCCTCGCACAATTGCCTTGTGGACCGACCGGGAGGTTTATCGGCGGAATTGCCTTCGCCGATAGCTTTCGGGATTTTTAACCCAATTATAAAGGTCAAAGTGGCAAGCACGCTTATCGAAGGTACGGAAGCACGTCGATGTCGGCCTAACCCAGCGTCTTGTAGACCGGGCGAACAAGGTCTCGCTCTTTGAAGTACTTGCAGCACACAACGCCAAACCAGGAAACCGGTGCAAAGAAGCGAGCCGGATGCGAGATCGCGGAGCGGAGTCCTCCCCCTGACGTCACGGTACACCTCACCCAATCAGGGCGCGGCGACCGCAGCGACGCTTGTGTTCGCTCTCGGGGCTAATACTCCGTTTCACCTTCCGTCCGAGCACAACGGACGCTAGGGCCATCCCAGCCAATGCGGCGTTGAGGGAGTGTCATGCGACCTTGAGCTCCCTGTGTCGCCCCACCCCACCGGCAGGTCACGCGACTTTCTCCCCGCGCTGGATCGGCTGGGATGGCTCGTGGCGTCCACTGCGCTCGGACTGAAGGTGAAACGGAGTATAGACCTTTCCAAAAAAGAGCTTGTGGCCGGTGCCATTTTGAGCGCTCGTGCGTATGGCGCGTGTTTTGCTCGCTTTGCGAAGCGACGAACACGCACGTGCTGGGCTGTAAAGATCGCACGCTGGACTGTGATTTTGTAAACATTGGAAAGGTCTATTAGCGCCGAGATGTTTCGGTGGCGCCCTCTTATGGTTTCCCTCCGTGACGTCACGACTGGGATTTGCCTCGCCGTGACGTCACCAGTTGTTATCCTGGCTACTTACCATCAGGTGCAACGACGAGTTCGATGGTGTGTTTAAAAAGCACAGTGGAAGCTAGGAGCCATCGCAATCCGAAACTAACACCGTCAAAGTTGACAATCTGACAATGCTCATATGCCCATGGTTTGGCCAATCGTGGAAAGCTGACCGCAGCGACGCTTTTGGTCGCGCACATCGCTAATACTCCCACGTAACGGCATTGACCAAGAAACCGCTTCGTTGCGGTGTACATTCAAAACTAAACCCGAGCGTTGTTGTTTTCTATATTTTTTTCTGCAATATTTGACGACATAGTCTCCCAGTTACGATACGTGGATGCAGCTTATAGAGTGGACCCGAGTATTGCGTTAGCTTTCGATTTGGGCTCGTGATAATCAATAGGCGCTTTAAACACGCGGAATATGTAGCCGCCATTGCCGACCTTCTCTTGTCTTACCGAGATGCCGAGCCACTGAAGCGGGCGTTGATGAGCCTCCACATAGGCTATACGCTAAGGAGAAGGACAGAGTAGCACCTAAAGTGGCAATAGCCTGTCCTACTGCTGCAATGATAAGCGAACGGAATAAGAGGGAACAAAAACTGAAGATCAGTTATGGCGGCGCCCATGAACTGCTTCCTGAAACCGTCTATACACGAACTCAACTCTCCTACGTCACGTCGCGGTGATGGCGCGCCGGACGCACTTCCGGTCTGGGGCAGTGGGCAGAAGTCGCCGTGCCAGACATGCATTCTTGTGTTCCTTTGGAAGAAACGAGACAAAAAACCTTCCTCCTCGTCAAAATGCTGCGACGGGGGTCGTACCAAGGGAGTCTGGAAAGGTTTGAAGATCAGTTTTCATGTGTTCCTGCCCCCCCCCCCCCCCCCCCCCCACACACACACACAATTCGTACGAGAACCTGGATAGTAGCCGTGAAAAGGGCAAACCAGACTCTGTCGAACTAAGATTGCGTGCGCGGGCAACACTCTGTGGTCGCCAGATGTATTTGCTTTGTTCCAAAAAAAAACGAGAGAAAACCGCCAAGTTGTCCGAACCACCCACGGGTTCAGTGCGTCTTCAAATTCACACGGCCGCCTGATCGTTCGAACTTTCGTCTGCTCTTTCAAACGTCTGCTTTTTGTCGTCTGCTAGTTCAAACAAAAGCGGCCCGTAGACCAAACTTTGACCCGGTGATTGCAATAAGAAGTAATTGCAGGCCTCAAAAGACTTAAGCAGGCTCGGTGTAAACAGTACATAAAAGATGTTGATCATTGGTACCGGTGGCCATCACCGACTTGTTACGCTTGGTCTGTTCCCGCTTCCGATTTTCAGTATCGACGTCGATCATCGCCGCTACCTTCTACACTTTTGCAACACGAGCGACGACGCTACCGAAAATAGCTGGAAGAATCTCATCATGGTTTTAGCGTCCATTCTGCGGCGTTCATGCGAATGAATCGCCGCATGTCAAATTATTTACGGAAAGTTTAGCGGCGTAACGAGCCTTGATAATTTTGTTTAGGCGATTAAAGTGGTAAGACATTGCGATAAGGACATAGAATCGACAA